GTTCCGCAGTAATGTTCGACCGCACCTGAGCTATGCAGGGCTAGCTGATCATGTATTTGCTATGCACAGCACCAGCAACTTCAGGCGGTGTGTATGGTGAACACATAACCAGCTGACTCTGCGCAGCCAAGGTGCGCAGGAACATTACTGCCAGAACTTCATGAAATCATTTTGAGTTTCATGTTAGTACTCCAAAGAAAATTGTGAAATTGAGTTGTTGAGATTGGGTTAACATTTGACTAATTTTGGAACTGGGAGGGGGGAAGGGAGTCTGGGTGGGTGGTGGGGCGCTAGAATAAGGGTAGACCTAAAACCTAGCCCTAAATGTACATCTTTGGCCATAACATTCTTTTTTCTGGGTACATGTATTTGTAAGTTATACAAAATCATCAGGGAAAACTTGATGGGAATTTAATGTCGAACCATTTTTTTATTTATTATATATATCGTGAGTGGCGTGCGTGCGTGGGGCAGTAGCGTGATGCGCGCAATTTTTTTTAAAGGACCGAGACTTGTCGCATGAGGCCTGCGGTAAATGAGGAGAAGTCACATTGAGATTTGTATCTTGCTGTGAAAAAAAATACTGTAACCTTAAAAAAGAAGCAACTTCAAAACACTCTACCAAGAATAACCAATCTTGTTTTGTGATCAAATCTTTATTTTTTTCATGTGTTTAATGATGTATTTTATATACTTCATAGCCTTACATTATGAAATGTTTGTTTAAAACAATTGTCATGAATAAAACTTTCAAGGATTTTTTTTGAAATTTAGGTCTGCCAGTGCTAAAGTATATGCCAGTATTTTGGGCTTATGGGAAGTTAATTATGCTGAGAGCGAGAAGGGAATTGAATACTTATAAAAAGCAATATATTAATCCCCTTCTTGCCCTCAGGAAATTAATTAATTAACTTGGAATTACCTTTAATTCTCCAAAATGGATGAAAAAGAAACTGCCATGGTAGTTTTATGTCACTTTGTCTCCATCATTGTCGATTTGAGACAACATTCAATTATGTTTTCATCAAAGTCTTTACACTTTATGTTGGCTCTGGTTCATTTAATAAAAAATAACAACTTTTTGACTTTTTAAAATTGTTTTTTTTTTGGAGGGGGGATATATGGAGTGAAAAATCTAAAGCGTCATGATTTTTTTTGAGATTTCACTCTCACACACTGAAACGAAGCATTATAAAAGTGGCCTCAACCAGTGATAATTTCTATTTTTATATTTATTGACATCTGTAACTCGTGACATTCAAGGATGAAGCAACATTGCGTGTCTTGACGGCTAGATAAGCTGATGAAAAATAATAGGAATATCTTTGAAAATAATTCCTTTTTTCCTATAAATTCATTTTTTACTCATTTGTAAAGGAAAGTAACAATAGTGTTCTGTTTTACCAGATTGTATTTTGGGTTGGCAGGGGAAGGGATTCCATGATAATATCATTTCATTGAGCCATAGTCAAGGCACGCAATGGCACAGGTGTTTGCTTCAAAACCTTTTTTTGTAAATCATTTCCTTGTCTGGTAGCCTATATTGAAAACAAGGACCGTTTTCATACACTATACATTATCAAACTGTTTTTGTAACTTATTATATTCATAACACAGGTGTGTGAAAAAGAAAAAAAAACTGACGACGACGAAGAAGAAAGAGGAAGAAAAAGAAGACAAACCTAAATTGAATGATTCTTTGAACTATTCAGTGCAAGTTGTGGGACAACAGACTTATAATATGGTAGTTGAACATTTTTTGAAAATGATGAAAAAAAATGCATTGTTGACGTATGTTGCTGTTGTCGCTGGTATTTACGAGTTTTAAAAGTTAATGATTACGTCGTACCAAGCCTAATATATTGCAGTTAAAGACATAACATCAGTATTCAATCAGTGGGAGAAAGTGAAAGATTTCTGTCTATCAAACCTCTTATAATCATCTTTGATTTGATAACAAAACAAACACATGATAATGATTATATACTAAATTTTGGTTTCAATTATAACAGAGAAAAGAAATTTTGTAAAGAAATCAACAGTTGTGATACAAGAGGATTATATCTTCACGTCTTATCCAACCTTGTGAATAACTGGGCCCTGTGTATCCCATGTCAAAAAAGGAATTACATGGTGATAATCATTGCATTGGAATTAGAGGATCTTTTTCATGTTCTAATGATTGAGAAAATGTTATATAGGTTGAACCTGATTAAAGCATTTACATTTGGAAGATATCCTCGCTGTTGGCGGGAAAACCATGCAAAACCTATCCACCATTTCTTTCTAATGGTTTACGATGCGAGGTTTGCAAAAATCCAACTTGTTCAACTTCAACATTTCTAAAGACTAATATTAAGATACCACTTTGGAAATGTGTTCTATGGAGTTGTAAAATCATGAAGATGTGTATTTTTAGGAGGAAAGTGTGATCAAAATACTGTTACAGAAGTTTATTATAGCCTTTCCCATGTTGAGGCAAATGAATACAAAGTCTTTATATTTTGATCCTTCATGTCAAATATAGAACAATTAAAAAAAAAAATGAGGGAACATCAGAGTTGATGCTTGGTACGACAGGTAATTTCTGTTCTTGTTACAATAAAAGCATTAAAAAATATAGAATCGTTTGTGTATTTCTTTAATGTGTTGTTTGCACTGAACAGGATCGCAACTACTTAAAGGGAAAGACCACCCCTGAAATTAAGTTAGTTTTAATAGGAGTAGAAAAATGAGAGAAACAAGTCAGTGAAAGTTTGAGCAAATTCATTAAAAATAAGGAAGTTAGGATTTTTGAAGTTGTGATCAATCAAACACAAATTGGCAACTCTATGACGTATCATGCGAGCTCAACTTCCATTTGCTCAGTACTAAAAAAATCTAAAATTTTCATTTTCCCTCAAGAAAAATTTCAACCATACATGCACCCTAAATATAATAATTGCAAATATGTTTCTATCTACTCCCCCTGCAAGGAACAAATATATATTCCGTCATCAATAACGAAGAAAACATGATTTTATGGAATATTATGCACAAAGCAAATGAAGGAGAGCTCGTATAATAAGTCACAGAGTTGCCAATTTGTATTTGATTGATCACAACTTCAATAATTCATAACTTTCGTATTTTCATTCAGAATTTGCTCAAACTTTCACTCACCTGATTTTCTTATTATTCTGCCTCTATCGAAACAAACTTATTTTGGGGGTGGACTTTCCCTTTAAGATAAATCAACCTAAGACAATTTCAATAGCATTGTCAAGCGAACATGACAGTGACGTTTTAAGTAACCCAAACATGATTTCTATGGGATATAAACTAGGGTATTGAAATTGCCCGACTTGATTTATCAAAAGTAGTTTCGATCGTGTTTCTTGAACCTGGTACGGTTGTGTTGCATGATTTAGCCATGTACATAATTATATTTGAGTCCTATCAATAGCAGTAGAGATCTAGACCATTCATGAAATGACTTTCAAAAACAACGGGAATTGAAAGAAAGTTTAGATAGGGATGGAGGGGGGGGGGGGTGGGGGGGGGGGGGGGGGGGGGGGGG